CTGTCAATTTCTGGAGCATTGTTTTTCATCAGTGCTTTCTGTGCAGCTTATACTTCTTCCTTCTCCATCAGTTCTTGATCATATGCTACCTCCTGAAATGGTTGAACAATGACTAATTCCTTTTGGTACAGAGACTCTGTGTATTCCTTCTATCTTCTTTTGATGCTTCCTGTGTTGTTCAATATTTTACCCATAGAACTCTTAAATATTGCAACTAGGGGCTTGAAGTTTTTCTCCAGTTCTTTCAGCTTGAGAAAAGATGAATGTGTTCTTCCCTTTTTGCTTTCTAATTCCAGGTCTTTGCAGATTATAACACTTTACTTTGTCTTCTCTAGCTGTCCTTTGAAATCTTCTGTTCAACTCTTTTACATAATCATTTCTTCCATTCACTTTAGCTACTCTACATTCAAAAGCAAGTTTCAGGTTATCTTCTGACATTCATTTTGGTCTTCTCTTTCTTCCTTTTTAATGATCTTTTGCTTTTTTCATTTATGGTGTCCTTGATGTCATCCCACAACTCATCTGGTCTTCAGTCATTAGTGTTCAATGTATCAAATCTATGCTTGAGATGGTCTCTAAATTCAGGTGGTATATACTCAAGGTCATACTTTGGCTCTCGGAGGCTTACTTCAATTTTCTTTAGCTTCAAATTGAACTTGCAGATGAGCAATTGATGGTCTCTAGCCTTGTTCTGACTGATACAACCCAGTTGGCTCCTGGCCTTGTTCTAACTGTAATAGTGAGCTTCTCCATTGTCTCTCTCCACAGTTGATTTGATTCCTGTGTATTCCATCCAGTGAGAGCCAAATGGATAGTTGCCATTTTGTTGAAAAAAAGTATTTGCAATGAATAAGTCATTGGTCTTGCAAAATTCTGTCATGTGATTTCCAGCATCATTCCTATCACCAAGGCCATATTTTTCAACTATTGATCCTTCTTCTTGTAGGAGCTCTGGTGGTGCAGTGCCTAAGGCATTTGACTACTAACCAGAAGGCTGGTGGTTCACACCCACCAGCCACTTCTCAGAAGGAAGATTGGGCAATCTACTTCCATAGAGATACCACCTTGAAAACCCAAGGAGGGGTCACTATGAGTTGGAAAAGATTCAAAAGCAGTGAGTTTGGGGTTTTTTGATCCTCTTCTTTGTTTCCAACTTTCCCATTTTAATCATTATCATTGTGAGATTGTTTGAAATAATGAAACCAACTCCTGGACCTTCATAACTACCTTTCTAGACCCCCAGAGACCAGTGACCCCAGAGTGGAATGCCTAACCTTGTTTAGTCCCCTCTCCACACCCCCATGTTAAAGATGAGAAACAGTAGTTAGGTTGGGATAGCGCTAAAATGAGAACACAAGTGACAGAGGCAGACACACAGAGAGAAATGAGCACAGACCCTATGTGATAAGGTGGAATGACACTGGCTCTGCCACTGCCATTTCTCAGATGACTAGCCTCAGCCCTGTGTTCATCCTACTTCATCATAGGTGTTTGTCTCACCCCAATAGAGATAGCACAGACATAGCTAAAGCCATAGCCAAAGCCATCAAACAGCACAGAAGTATGGTGGACACTGGAATCTGGAACTCTGTCTCCTGGGCCATCACCCTGCTCCAGCTCCTTTTCAAATGGGAGGGAGAGATGCATGGGGCCATGTGGCAGCCAGGGAACCTCTTTCTAACTAGCTCTGTGGTCTTGGCCAAGTCACTGACCTCTCTTAGCCTCGGTGTCCTCCTCTATGAAAGGAAGGATCAGACTAGGTAACCTTTAGCTTCAGCTCTAACATTCTATGTGTCCATGAAATTGTGACCCAGGACAAAGAGCCCTTATTCTACCACTCCTTCCTGCCATGCTAACCCCTGACCCAGTGTCATTCCTCCACTCCCAGTCTCAGCTCCACATCCTTACCCCAGGAACTCCATTTCTAACTCTTTGCAGTGGTCAGTTCAAGATATTTGAAAGAATAACTATAAATTTTAGAACACATAGCAAAACACATGTTGTTGTTGTTGTTATTTGCCGTCGAGTCAGCCCTGACTCATAGTGACCCTTCCTTGGGTTTCTGAGGCAGTATCACTATGGAAGTAGGATTGTCCAACCTTCCTTCTGAGGAGTGGCTGGTGGGTTTGAACTGCCA